GGTGGACATTGTTCCAGAACCGGAACGGGAAATGGGGATCCTGTTTCGGTTCCTATACTTGGAACCGAAACATGTTCCTTTACCTAGTTGTAGTCACCCGTATAATTTAATTTAAAAAAAACTAAATTTGTGAGAAAAAATGTATTTTTTTGTACAATCGAACATCTAATTGTATTTTTTTAAGGCTATCTAAATGTATTTATATTCATGTAATTAATAATAAAAAAACGGATTAGAACCCGTTGGTGGAACCAGACTGGAACCGTCAGTCCCAAGAAGTTCTGGTACCTCCATTTTAAAAACGGGAAATTGCAATTTTCGATACTTGTACCCGACCAGCGGACCCTACCAGACGGCGTCCACCAAAACTAAATGCCCATCCCTATATAGGTGAGACTGTGAGGGGTGTTTACAACCATGCAACAACACATTTGAACACCACTATTGGGGTCTGGGGAGAGTGAGTGTATGCAGATCATAGCTACGCTATATAGTAAAAGGATGAAGATGGGGAAAGCTTTTAAAACGAAAACAAAGCTCACCTCATATCTGGCGTCAACAGGATTCCTCTGCTCATCATGCGAAAATTAGCAATTTTATGGAATTAAGTATATATTATCACACATTGATTAAGCCGAAAAGGCAAAGCATTTCGGGCATTTGTAAGGAAGAGCATACCTTCATTGACACATGAGGATCTAAAACCTGAAATTGGGAGTTCAAACGTACAAAGTATTATTAGCATGAAGATGGGTGTTCAATGGATTTAGATATGCTTACATGAAATGATACATTTTTTTCCAGAGTAAATATGATTTTTTTCGTAGAGGCCATCAATTTTGGGTCCATCGAAATCGACCATGGATTTAAAAAGCTACCGGTTTCGATGCATGAATTTCATTTTTTATCACTTGTGGTCATTGCTAACATATCTTGAAATGAGCAAAAGTGGTGCTAACACAAAACTTGAGCACCCAATTTGTACGCAGAATAGTATGTAGGAAAATCACCTTTTTAGATGACGCCCCACCCAAAGTTTGAATGCTTTGGTGAACTATGTATTCACTATCAACAACTCCCACCTTTTTCGTCCGATCCCCCTACACCACTTCTGGACCGCAATTAATCTCCCAACAAACAAGAAAGATATTTCTTCGAACGTAATAATAGGTAGCGCCTGAAATCACATAGCACGGATGAAAGGGGAAGGTTAGAAATTGCACCTGTGCACAATAACCGAGCTTCATGTCCATTCCCCATCCATGAACAAGATCATTCTAACAAAAAAATTTGAAAACATAGAGTTAGATATTCTTAAGGTTTCTTTTTTTCTTTGGTGGGTGGGGAGTGGGGTGACTGTGAGCATGTATGGCATCCTACATTTTGCTTCATTATGCTTATAAGCCAAACTTTTCAGCCAAATAGTAATATATTTGAGTGCATTAGTTGAATCAATATAAAAATGTGGTGCACACATTACTTTTTTTTGCTGAAGTGAAGATACTATTTTAAATATGTACATCTTTAGACAATTACCAACCAAAAAATGCATGTTTAGACAAGTCAAATTAATATGCTCATCTTACATTTTAGGCATAACATAAGCAACCGTTTATCCGCTCATTTCAAATGAATTTACCTCCAAATGGGATCTAAACATACTTTAAACTTTCAGTAAATAATGAAATTTAGAGCACCAACTACCTGAATAAGATGCCAGACACAATGCCATGAAGACCTTGAAAAGACTGGAGCCATTCCTTCCACAAACCTGTATAACATAAATTGAAAAAAATGTGTTTCCATAATCTATGAAAAAGAAGCACCGTGATTAAATATTGCTTGTAATCGTGAGACGATATACAGATGAAAACCACATTTATAAAACCAAATCTTTTGCCAAGAGGCGCCACGTTATATATCAATGCTCCTAAGTCCTAACTACAGTTGTTAGACCTCTAATCATGGTCCAACCTAAGAAGGATGAAAATACAGAAGAGAATTGTTGCCATTTTGTTGGAGTGCATCCCACATCGGAAGTCCAAGAGCAAAATAATCAGTATATAAGCTCTTGATTTGAACTAACTAATCGATTGGATTCAATCTTTTAATATGGTTCAACCCAAGTGTCTTATTGCCCAATACAGTTGTCTCTACTCAATCCTAAATTCTATCATGGTATCAGAGCAGGTTTTGGCCCACCTCGTTTTTCAAGGTGTCCGTCTAGACGTTACAATCCTAGCGGCCCATTAGTCTTTAGCCCAAGTGTTTGTATGGAGTATGTACCCAACGGCCTGTGGCCCGTTTAACACGTTTGCTCGTCTGGAAGTTCATAACCAGCGGCTTGTGGTCCTTTAGGTGTTGGCCCTCAAAAAAAAGTCAAGGGAATGGGAGTTCATTTGCAAGTGGTTAACCGGTTAGATTCAAAATGACCCGGTTGTCCACTTGAGGGAGAGTGTTGGAGTGCATCCTACATCGGAAGTCCAAGAGCAAAATAATCGGTATATAAGCTCTTGAGTTGAACTAACTAATCGATTGGATTCAATCTTTTAATATGGTTCAACCCAAGTGTCTTATTACCCAATTCAGTTGTCCATACCCATCCTAAATTTTATCAATAATAAAATAGGCCCATGCACCTTATAGCTTATCGAACTAAGAAAACATTTCGGTTTTTGGTCCCAATTTTCATTATTTCCACTCACAGTGCACAACTATAGACTTATGAGTCACATTTGGTTCTTTTTCGGTCACTTACCTGACAAAAATCATCTGGAACTTGTATGTAAATCAGTCGGAGGGACCAAGTGTAGAAAAAATGAAAGTTGTTGCCAAGAGTGGCAAATAAATATTCTGCAAGTGATGCATGAATATCCCTAATGGTGTAATAAAGCTGTGCGCCTATGGTAGCTTACCCACTGCATGGAGGACCTTCACTTTCATCAGAACATTTTGTACTACCTCTGTCATAATAGACTTTTCTGCTCAAGACGAGAGTTCATAATTATTTTGACTGAATAGGCCATGTGGTGAAACTTTGAAGTGAAATATGAATAATGCTCACCTGTGAAACTTCTTTGTTCTCCGTCGTATGGTGATTCTGTGGTGTATGCCAGTTGAATTTGGGTCTAGAGCTGGCTGAGATATCTCCAGTCCAGCTGACCTCACAATTCTAAGGTATCTGAAATAATACAATTAAAATTTGCGATTCATTTAGATATCAGAAGTCATGATAACTAGCATAATCTAGCACAGATGGCTGGAGATTGAAGAGTCTGTTTGTTACATAAAAAAAAATTAAAATGGCAGGGTTGGCTGTTCGAAGAGTTTGTTCGTCCATTGCCAAATGGAGCTAAAAGAGTCACATAATGTTTTAGTTTCAGGCACATACTTGACTAAATCAAAATGGCACAATAAACTTCTTTTGCTTCTTATTTTCAATGAAGTTTTGGAAAGTAATGCAGCAATGCATCTAGGGTCGAATGGAGACCTCTCCGTTTTGCAGGGCTAAGACTTTGTACATCTTGGCCTCCTCGACCCCAATGGATTTGGGATTATACTGGGGTTGTTGTCGCATGGTTAGCTGAAACTGTGACAAATATGGCTGAATTTCTCAAATACTTGTTTAATACAGAGTAATATGTTTTCCGAATCAACTAAGAGTAAAAATGAAGATTAAAGTGTCCTTTTCACTAATTTAGCTCATTTCAGCCAAAGGGTAACTTTTGTTCTGGTTTTTAAATAATCATCCGAATCAGCAAGCGTGGTGATATAAGTTAGTGTTTGATCAACAATCTAACAGATAAGGCTGATAAGTGATAAAGCAGCCTATCGGGAATAAATACCTACCAAAAGGGCAGTAAATGTTTCCATGTAATTTTAAAAAAGTACATTTTCAAAACGGAGAGGATTGATTTGATATCCCTATGATTATGCATCACTGCCATCACTTATAAAAGATCAATTTCTAGGGATATTCATAGCATATCAGTGGATGATAAAAACTTTACAGATACAGACCGTAGATGGGCAGAATGTTGATACCTTCCAGGGTGAAATTTCTTGACACCCAAATCCTCATCCCATAGGAATATGTATTCATAAATAGATACGACAGCTGGGTGCAGAAAACGCTTTGCAAACCACCTGTAATGAAATTGTCATATTCCTTTAGGCCATGTTTGGTTCCTGGAAGATGTTAGGGATATGAAAGAAAATGCTAAGAAACATTATTTTCTTATGTTTGTTTTTATCTCGGAAAATGCAAAGGGAAGTTAAATACTATGCATGATTACTTTTATTTGTTATTTTTAAGGTAAGTGTTGATTTCTTAGTATTTATAAACGGAGTAAAAGAAATAAATGAACAAAATGACTGTGAACCCATTTAAATGTGAATTTATTGAGTTAGGACCAATGTTTTATCTTTCCTCCACATTTTCATTCCTTCTAAATTTCTCACATAATTGCTTCCATGATTTCCTTACCATTTTCCAAGTTCCAAACAGACGAAGCTCCATGAACAATTGGCAAATAAGAATAATA